ACCCCGAGCATGACTTTCCACCTGTTTCATGAAATAGCTTGTGATTACTACTAATAAAATCTTACCCAGAAAGCGTTCTAAAATTTCCTTTTTATTTCCTTAACCCTTGTCCTAACCTCAACCATAATTAACAAGTATTATGAGAAAAAAGAAAATTGCAGGTCATTATCATGATAATTACAAGGAAATTCCTGCAATAACTGCCAAAAACTGGTAATATAAAGCAGGGTCAAACAAACTGCATCAAGTCAAAGATGTTTGTTAGAAGTTCAGTTATGAAATATTTAATTAAAAAAGCCCAGACCCTTGTGACAACATGCCACTGATTTCAGCTTCATACAAACCACAGTGAGCTTCACCAGGTCTCTTCTGTCCTCTGCACCATTTTGAATGAATACAATAATATAGTCATATCTTGGTGTTTGAATATTGACTGTTTTCATTAAAATTATCCCACCAAGAAAATACCACTTTCAGATGTCACATCTCATTTCCAAAAGTGTTCTGGGAAACAGGCAGCCCAGAGCAATTAAGATTTCAACACAAAGCAACAAAGTATACATTCATACTTGGCACAAAGGAAGTAAGGCGGAAAATCGCTAAAGGAGGAAGAAAAAAAAATGTAGAAAGGTGCTGGTTTTAGTTGGAAAAACCTTTGTACATTTTAGAAGCATTTTAACATGGCTGCCTTGAGCTTAAAGCTCTTTGGACTCTGTATGTTATGTAAATTTCATATGTTACATATTACATTTAAGGCGTTGGCTTTTTATCAACAAAGAGCTTAAATTTCAATCAAAAACTGGCTATACAATTAGTCGAAATCAAAGCCACTTAACATGACATAAATTGAAGAAGCTGATATATTTGTACAGATGGTAATCTACAGTTAAGGCATATCATTAATATTTTTTTTAAAAAGGAAACACAAATGATTTCATTAGGAATTGCTCACAACTTTTAGAGCCGAAAAGCACTTTCACGCTCCTTGAAACTCAAATGTAAGTCAAAATTACTTTTCAAATTGCTAATTCTACAATCGGTTTTACAGATGAGGATTAGGATCATTTTAGACAATTCTCCGTGGAGTTCTTCCCAGAATGCAAGACTACAACCTAAATAGGATGGCAGTTCATCACAGGACATGCACACTGGGAACATTTTGACAGAGGAAATTCACTCCACCAGAATGTCTGAGGAGTGTGTTAGGAAATCAGAGCACCAAGAGTAAAGACATGAACAAAGGAAGAATTATGAACTCCACACTGAACCCAAGAACACCGAACTGAACCCAATGCCTCCCCTATGCTCCTCAACAAGTTATGTTCATGTACTTGTTCTTTAGCCGTAAAAATTTGCGTCAGTGAGAATCGTCACAGCTCAAAAAAGTTCGACAGGTGGCACTTCTATTGCCTTAGATGTTACTGAAATAGTGGTTTCATTCAATGTGTCTATATAGTACTTTTTTCTGAAAAGGAGACTACTCTACATGTCATGAATGAAGCCTGGATCGGACCTCAGTTTTTTAATGTCCCTGGTGTCGTAGAAATTCTCATTTTATAAAGAGACCGCAAACTAATCAAAACAACTGAAAGAGTTAATATTCCAATTTGCCACAAAGTGAAGCCTTAAAGTACTGCAGTTGCATGGGATTGTCAGACAGTTGGTTACAGTACTGAACACCACAGACATCTGCGGTACTTTGAGGATTCACTACACCACCTGGCAAGTTGTACAGAATAGTGCTGACCTGCACCAGATTATAAAAAAACTCAAAAAGCCATGATGGGCTGCTGTCCATGAAACTGTGGTGCCTACAGTGATATAGTGACTGACATCTCGCATCTCATATCTGTTGTTTGGGCTGCTTTGCAAGTGATGTTTTTTTTTATATCACGGGTGGTCGTGGCCTAAATTGATCTTTTTTTCACTTCTGTTCCAAAATGTCAGCTGAAGATATTGTCAGATTTGGCTTCCACTTATTCTGGTTTAAATCAAGTCGTGTAACCATACCAACTCCCTGTTCTACTTTACTGGATTTTGGCATTTTAATTTTTTTCTTCTTCTAAAATTCTTCTATTAGTCACTGCGTATTCAAGCTATTCATCATGTGAAGTTATTTCAGCATATTGCTTTGGACAGAAGCTGGTCTGTGTGCAACCTTATGTTCTAGTTTAATTTAGGTTTTTGTAATTTTATCCACAATAACACATTCTTTCATTAAACTATGCCATTGCAATCTCTTTCTCTTTTCAAAACCCTCCTGTTTGTATTTTTTAGAAGCCTAATTATGTCATGGTCTCAACATTTGAGCTAATACATTCTGTAGATCTGGTTTCAAGACGAGACCGGAAGTTTGGGAAAAGATCACGAAGATTAACTTCTGCCTTTAACTAAAATACAGCATGAAGTCACAGTCTGAAAAATGATTGCGATTAATCATGGCTACTGAATACAATCCATTCAACTAATCACGATTAAGTTAATGGATGAGTCACTGTGAAATGGGGAATACTAACTATGGTCCTTAAGGATACAGCCAAAACATCCAAGCCTACATGCTTCTAGTAGAAAACGATCACTCTGTTACTGCATCACAGTCTCAGAAGAATGACAAGTTTTACATTTCAGATTGATTAAACATAATTGGTACTTAAAGTGCAAATCAAAAACAGTTTTGTTTAAAAAAATAACATCCTTCACAAATTTGCTTTATTGAACAGAAGGGATATTCTGGTATTATAATTCATGTATCCTACCTTGAAAATTACTTCAGTGCGATCATTACTATTGCCTTGGCAATGATGCGTCTCCATTTTATGAACCCCAGCAGTACTCTTTTTGATTTGAAAATCTTTATCCGGGTAATCATTCTGAAATCTGGAATTTAGGTAAGACCTAATTGTGGACAAGAAAATTAACCATAACTGGCCATAACCCAGATGCCATCATAAAAAACTGCTGAAAAAACAAAAACTACTCATTACAGCACAGTTTAATTGACAATTGAAGGTTGCGATTGAGTAATTGAGGGTAGCAAGTCCATGGAAGATTAATGGATTCACCTAAATGCTTTCAGATGGTGCTCACCATAAATCATCATCATATAAACATCACCTGATAGACAACAAAGATCAAAATTTCAGCAGCTGATAGTTTTTCCTACATTAGAAGAAAAATTGCAACTGAACATTAACTTAGGAAAGAAAACCTGTTAAGAGGTTTCAAACTATTTTCCATTTTTATTTTCAAAACCCACAACATATAACTCAATTAGGTTCAAGAATACACTACTGAGCTAGTAAAAAATATGGCAGTGCATCCTAAGCTTCACAGCTTGAAACATTGCAATTCGCTCCTGCCCTTAAGTTGGTGCAACAGCACAGCAAACACTCAGCTGACAGTGGTGTGAGAGCCAGTAGTCACACTGGTATAATGTAAAAACGAAGAACGAACACTAAACACGAAACGAACCACAGAGGTTCACTGCCATTCTATTTTTATGCTGCAATGTAGATGCCAGTTTTCTGATTCCGAATTTGTAAAAAAACATTTCTTCATTAATACGTAACCACAAAACCTTCCTCCGAGATTCACCAGCAGTCACATATTTTTAGAAAGACTGAGACGGACCACCTAGGTGCTGCAGTCCACATATTCTGAAATCTGATTAGATGCAGATGAGCGTCTCCCAGAAAGGACTATGTTATACTATTAGATTCATCTGTGAAAGCAGTAAAGCACTTGTCCTGGGCTGCCCAGTCCTGCCCCTGGCAGGGCAGTGTGCATGCTGTACACTTTGGGCTTTAAACAGCCTGATTCAATTCATTATCGGTTTACGTGGACCATTTCAACGTGTGCTGGTGCAATATAATAAATCTCCAGACACAGTGCCCTTCCACAACCAGGACCCCTGAGGAACTCCCTGAAGAATAAACCACCTTGGAGACCTTCACAGTCACAGAAGAGCCCACCTTGCATTCTGTTGGCAACAACAGCACAGAACTCGTATTTTAAGTCCTGGAAAAAAAGGGCAGGAATCTGGTCCAACTGGTCAGGGAATCAGCTCAGACCGATCACGAAGAACTTAAAAAGAAAACCATAAGACCCTGAGGCCCTCCGGGTCCAGATTGTGTCTCACGGCCTCGTGAGAGAAAACGCTGGCTTGTTCTTCGAACGAGAACAGTTTTAGTTGGAAACGCAGAAACGGGCTTGAACGGGGCTATTCGCAGGGCCAGAAAACGGGGGAGGCGGGGCCCGGTCTGTCTGACAGCGACAAAGACTGCCAGACTGCAAAGGTTCAGCCAGGATCTCAGAGAGGCCGTGGTCAAGCGAAGGGAAGGGGTAAGTGCTTCTGTTCGCCAGCACCTCCGGAAGAATGTGTGGTATGTTAGTGGTGAACAATTGTGGTGGGGTAGGGGAAAAAAAAAGGCCGAAATGTAGTTATCTTGGCAAGGTCAGCAAGAACGTGAGTGAGGAGCACGATTAGGAACGCAGTCCATTCTCATTTGGATTGCCAGATGTAAGTTTTGTAATGAATGAAACAATTCAGCACTGAAATACAGAGTTCCACGGGTTGTACAACCCCTTTGGGTCCACTACTCTACTACTAGAGACAAGGTCAGGCAATGGGTCTTTCACCAAGGACATCAGGAGACAACTGCACAAAAGGGCTGGGACAAGGATAAAAAATGACGTACTTTTTGCAAACACAGAAAGCTCAGTCACGACAGAGAGGGATTGTTTTGTTTGGTTTATGTAAAGATTCACATTTAAAAATGTTCAAGACTAAATGTTTAAAAAGAGAACTCTTAGTGTGCCACAATGGTTGCTGTATTGATACTACAACCAATGCATCAGATCTAGCTTCTTGACATCATAAATACATAAAAAAACACAGTTTTAAAATGTTTCTGGCAGCAATAAGCTACGTTATTGGACCACAAAAACATACCCTTTGCTTCTAATTTAACACTGTGGGTGACAGAATGATATATGATTACCAGAGGCTCTTTGTTCTTGACCAGTCGGATAATCTTCACTGAATCTTCATCATCATCAATATCGTCTGGCAAAGGCGGCAGCTCGGGGTCATAACTTTTCTGGGCCACTGTATCATGAACGGAGAGCAAACTCTGAAGGGAGAAAAAGGCTGAAGTTAATACTATTGCTCTGAAGACACAGCAGATTAAGCTGGAGAGAGAATAAACCAAAGTGAATTCTGCATAATTGCACAAATGTGCTTATGCTTTTTTAAAAAAGGACAAAGTTTTATCGTATGAGGCTCAATAACAAAACGTTTAAAGTTGATAAACCTTTTACAAAGGCTTTGTTCTATCATAGCACCTAAGCATTTTTAAATTAAACTACTGATATCAATGATCTCTACAACCACTGACAACCAATTTCACAGAGACACACTGAAATGAAAAGCTGGAGTGTTACAGGGGCACAGCGTGTAGCTGAAAGAGGAGAAAGCAAGGAGTCTATCACTCATGAATAAAGTTGTCTGACAGAAATGTATTTATACTGGCTCACAATGACCTTTGACAAATTTGGCTGTGACTCTAGTTCTTTAGCTGGTTCTAGAAAGGACCTCCGCTGCATTTGATGTCCCAAACAATGGAGACTCAATATTCTCACAAAAATACAGACATCACCCACAAAAAAAAATCTCTTGGTATAACAATCAGCTCAGGTCAGCATTCTCAAATGATTTATAGGGTTAAAATTTTTAGCCATATCCCATAAGGTTAAATTTATATACTCAGATTTAGCCCTGAATGGCTATCTCAACTATCGTGGAACATTTTTAAAAAATCAGCAAAATTAACAATTTGCATTGTCCCACAGCACTTTGCTGCACAAAAACTAAAAAGAAACAACAGATTTATTATGTGAGGGGTGCACTATATCATTCAAGATGTTTCTAAAAGGGAACAGATGATGGGCTGAAAAATGACTGGCACGCGATTCCAAACACCCAGTAGGGATCCAGAGTGCGAAAATTCAACCATTATAAAAGTTAGTCCCATCAATCGGATTTCTAAGCCATTCTTTTTGAGCATCTGCAAATAACACTGAGGCAGTATTAGCTTTGTGAGATTTATTTTCTTCTTAGAACAGATTAATTTCAAAGGCTGAATTTAAGAGAAACCTCCGTCGGAGCGTGATTCTTTCTGGATGGAGAAAGTCTGACTATAAATATTTTCAGAAGTACAGCTCAAAGACTTTTTTTAAGGAAATGGTTAAATGTGGAGATGTATTAAAAAGCTCAAGTTTCTAAAAACAGTGCATATGAAAGTAATCCTCTATCTGGTTTTTTTTTTCCCCCTACCAGAGAAGTCTGTACTGCTGCTGAACAAACAAAATTCTTCTAAATGGACCCCTGGTGATGCTCCAGTGTTATTCAACACGCTTGGTTCAATATTTAACTGCAATTAGCCTTCCGAGAAACGCCAATCACGCATTTTGCCTTTCAACAGCTCAGTCCCAGGGCTCAGGCAGAACAGTGGCGAACACACAATACAGCCTCCACTGCAACAGCAAGACCTCACATCCACATGGCACTGCTCAAGGGCCTTTCCGATTAACCTTCTGCGCGTTCTTTTCCTGAAGTCTGGAAGAATCACGTCCCATATCCTGAAGGAAATGTCCATTTCTTATCATCTGTCTTTTTTTTTTCTAACCCCTCCCTCATCCCCACGTCCCCCGATGACAGATTACAGCACATGCATTAATAGCTCGTAAAAGCCGAAAACCAGCCTCCCACCCCCAAAAAACTCGCTGAACCATTTAATAGACTGCACATGGAGCACACTTGCCCATGGCTGGAGCTTAGTTATGTCTTACCAACATGGAAAGAGACAAGCGTGTCAGAATACTTGTGAGCCATTGACGGCTGTTTTTTGTCTGCATTTCCTATGCAAAACGATGCATTCAGAAAAAAAACAACTGATTAAGATGCCAGCCAGGGATATTGTTTTCTCTGTTTGCAGATTTATAAAAAACATTCTTATAGTTTGAATCGTTGATTTGGAGTGCGGTTTTCAAATGCTTGGTAGCTTCACAAAACTAAACTAAGTTACTCATGAGAAAGGGAAAGTGTGATTAGTGCACTGAAACAAACAACAGTTGGGAAAGCAGACAACAACAGTCTCGGTCTCAGAAACGCTGAGGTCAAATTTATACATATGTTTTACCAACTGAGTTTTTGCATTTATCCACCATCATCAGATAATGATCATCTGGCCGTATCTTGACACTGATGACAATGCAAAACAGATGGCCTGCATTTTACCAGTAGGAACCTAAGTTTACTCCCTAGACTCCAAATTTAGTGACTGAAATTTGTAAAAGTAATTCAGACATTCAGAATAAAGAATGTTGGAGACAGATGTTGAATTTACCTACAAAATGTGTAACATACCTTTCAGTACACAACGGTGGAGTCATTGCTAATCATGTGACAATTACTTGAAAAAAATGTAAGGAGTAAATCTCTTAGTAACAGACTGTTATCAATATTATTATTATTATTATTATTATTATTATTATTATTATTATTATAGTAAATAGGTGACTAAAGTTGAAATTTGTTTTTTCACGTGTGAGTTATAAAAAAAAAATCTTTAAACACTGACTTATTTCCAGTCCCATAAATGGCTCATTTGAACTATAATGAGCGATTCTATTACAATCACACAGAGCGACCATTCAAGAACACCCATCTGCTTGCATTTTGTGTGATAGCAATGTAGAAGGCTCCTGTATCAAGAGCCTGTCCAGAGAGATATTAAGCCGTTGAGGGTATTTTCATACATATCACAGAACCCCAACATCCCCACATACACCCCTGGTTTTCAGGATTCATTTTCCAAATTTTCATATTAGGAGACCATTTTATTACACCACAGATGTAGCTCAGTTGTGAACTTTTTTTCGAAATAAACTTTTCTCCTCCAACGAAATGGTTTTGGTTCCTCACGATATTAAGCTTACAGAGAGCTGTTTCAGAGTTGCAAAGGTTTTCCTTCCAGCCTGGGCAGGAAGTCATCTAGCAGCTGCTAACTGTACAAACTGTCAGCACCATCATCCGTGTAGAAAAGGGAGAAGCTACAAACCAGGTGAAGACTTTTATTTTATTTGGATAAGAAATTTGTCAAATAGCAGTTATTACAGTCAATAATTTACTGCTTCCCCCAAAAAAAAAGCACAAAATTGAATTTGAATGTTAGGAATGTCATGTGTTGGCTCTTTGTGTGCAAGCAAGAAAGTTTGAGGGCTGTTAAGAGACTAGTGTAGAACCAAAATTTGATCATGATAAACGTGTAATTTGTAGGCAGGGCCTACATAACAACCTGCCACTCACAACTGGCAACCCACTGAAGCTCAGCAGGTGTGAGCCTGGTCAGTACCTGGATGGGAGACCTCCTGGAAAAGCTAAGGTTGCTGCTGCAGGAGGTGTTAGTCGGGCCAGCAGGGGGGCGCTCACCCTGCAGTCTGTGTGGGTCCTAATACCCCAGTATATAAACGGGGACACTATACTGTAAAAAGGCGCCATACTTGGGATGAGAGTCCTGACTCTCTGTGGTCATTAAAAATCCCAGGGATTTCTTGAAAAGATGTGTTACCCCGGCATCCTGGCCAAATTTCCCGTCCAATCATGGCCTCCTAATAATCACATCTATAAACTGGCTTCATTACTCTGTTCTCCTCCCCATTAATAGCTGGTGTGTGGTGAGCATTCTGGTGCACTATGGCTGCCATCGCATCATCCAGGTGGGGCTCCACACTGGTGGTGGAGGGGAGTCCCCATTACCTGTAAAGCGCTTTTAGTGGATGGTCCAGAAAGTGTAAGCAATTATTATTATAAAATGTAGGAACCAACATTTGATACCTAAACAAAAATAAATTTACACAATTTTAAAAGCGGTCTTTCAGCAGAAGAACTGCAGGTCATTTCCGACATAACGGACCGACAGCCAGACTCCATCTTTACTTACCGCCACCAAACCCAGTTCCTGAGTTAATATTGGAAAAGGAGCTAAAGGACCTTGTAAAACGAGACTGAAGAACCGGCAAATCCAGCATTAAGCAAGGTATGACAGGCTTAGCAAAGGAAGGTGATAACCCATTTGTCCTTGTCCATGTTGGGACTGATAACATTGGCTTAAATCGGACACGCGCCATGTGCAACAACCGCCTTGGAAACCAACTGAAGAACAAGACCAGCCGTTTGGTCCTTTCAGGAATCCTACCCACACCAGGAAACTGCAAACGATAATTAACATAAGCGATCAAGGCCTAGTGCTGTCCCAGAGAAGGCTTTTCATGGCAAGGACAATCTAGACAGGCAAAATAAAGTCATTTTGGCAAAAGGATCCACAGAAATTCAAAATCAATTCAACTAGAAAGGAGGGGAGAAACCAGAAAAAAATACAAGAAAAATACTTGCTCTGAAGTTAAGTCAACAAGTAAATAAAAAGACAAAACAAAACATCGAAGGACCAGGTAATTAAGTCCTTAAAATCAAAATGCTAAGGATTTTAAAAACTGAATTAGATGCAAGTTACCACATTACCAAGGGATCATGATGTAACTGGAATCATAGAAACATGGCTAACGGAGAGACCTTGTGACAAAAACCAACACACATGGATGCATGGAGTTTGGGAGAGATGGGAAAGATGGAAAAGTGGAGGGTAGGCCTGTACAACAAAAAGTGTATTCGGCACAGAAACTGAACTCACAAAATAAGGAGTCTCAGAATCTCTGGATCAGAGTTATGAAAAAATATTCAATGGCACAGTGTAAGATGTATGCTGCAGATTCAATTACTAACTGTAATTTAAAAAATGTATGATAAAATGAAAAAAAGTGTTAAGACGTAGTTTCGTGGGGTACTTCAACTTTCCTCACATAGACTGTAAAGAAGAAAAGTCAATAGTAGAAACTAAAATAGTTGGCATATGTCTATTTTTTGTCAGAGGTTATGAAAAGGGGAACTATTATATATTATAAAGATACAGTGAGGCAAAAAATGTGAGAGAAACATCAGAGTTTTAGATGAACAGAACAGATTCACCTCCAGATTAAGTAATTAAAAGGCTTGAATGTTTATAGTAACCTAAAA